AAAAATTCAGTAACCTACTTAGAAGCAACTATTATTAAAAAAAAAATGACTCTCCCACAATAACTCACAGGTAGAAGTGAACAGGACATGTCCTATCTTGAAGTCTTACTGGTTCCCTGAGATGAGGAAGGTTTTAATTTTAACCTGAAATCATGCTCCATATTTGTTAATATTAGAAAATAAATAATTATTCCTTAAGTTATATATTCCCTTTTTTGCAGTACTTCTTCATATTGAAGAAGTAACAGGTTTCATTTAAATAATCATACCAATACAGGAGAGGATAATCTGAATCTTCTAGTACATTAAAATTTTACCTATGAATGGATCAGCCATTGAATGCTATAATTTAGAGATTTCTGTGTCATCATAGATATTACATAACTTTTTAGAATGCCAAATGTGTGCCATAAAAATGTGTAGGAACATAGGTTCTGACAGATGTTAAACACCCTTTTTCATCTGACCATGAATCTTTGTTTTCATGAATCTTGAAAAAAGATTGCCCAAGATCTTTGGAATGAATACACAACAGAAAATAAATCCATCACAATAAAAAAATGACTCAAAGGAAACAAGCTTCCAGAATAGGAAAAAATAAAAGCAGCTGCCAGACCCCATGCCACGCCCATAAATTGTTGCACAGCTGTTACCACCTCCAGTGATGATGTTTTGCCAAACCAAAGACCAAGGTATTCCTGGGATGATGTGCTAAAGTCTTCATCCAGGCATCTCTGTATAACTTATGCATTCTAAAAGCAAGAAAAATTGGTTCCTCTCCAAGGACAGAGTTGGTGGAAAAGAGACATTTTTAGGGCATGTATCTCCTGGCAGGGTTCTAGGCAGAGGTAGTATCCCCAAGTATTCTTTCCTTTCCAAAAGACTCTCTGAGATTGTGTTGACAGCTTATCTTCAGAACACAAAGAGTGTCCAGGAAACACAAAAACACTGCATTAAGAAATCATCACTCCAATGAGAAAGTGGAAAATGTGGTAACAGAGTGAAGGAATTTTGTTCAGAATCTTAAAGTTTGCTTTTACGCCGCAGACTATATAAAAATACTTTCAGTTACATTCTCAAGCAATCACTAGGTCACTTCTCTTCTCTTCTCTTCTCTTCTCTTCTCTTCTCTTCTCTTCTCTTCTCTTCTCTTCTCTTCTCTTCTATTCTCTTCTTTCCTTTTCCCTTTCCTTTTCCTTCCTTCCTTCCGTCCTTCCTTCCTTCCTTCCTTCCTTCCTTCTCTCTCTCTCCTCTTCTCTCTCCTCTCCTCTCTTCTCCTCTCCTCTCCTCTCTCCTTTCCTCTTCTTTCTTTTCTTTCTGGAGCAGTTGTTAATTTTGGATTTAGCAGATACCATCAAGTTCCCACAATTTGCATCAGGACTCTGTGAATATTCATATTACCTTGTAAAGTTCCCTGTGAGAGGCAATTTCCATTTTACTTACAAACACATGTACAGGAATGGATAGATTCTATAGTAACCTTAGAACCATGGCAAATCGAGCTACCTCACTGAACAAATCTTTATTAGATTCATCATCTATTATGAGCCACGCACTGTGGTAGAAAATGGGGACTCATTGATGAATAAAATATTATCCCTGCCTCAAGGATCTTACAGCCTAGGGAGGAGGAATTCCAGAGTTTAAACTTAATAAATAAATGGATTGTTTTCAATTCTATAATTGGGAGATATAGAGAAGATTCCTGCCTCATATACCCAACTGCTTTCTTAGAAGTATGATAGTTATACACATAGTCTCAAGATTTGTAATGCCTTGGATTTTCTTATTTATTTATTTATTTGTTTGTTTATTTTTAAGATTTGATTTATTCTTTTAAGAGAGAGAGCACAAGCAGAGGGAGCAGCAGAGGGAGGGGGAGAAGCAGACTTCCCGCTAAGCAGGGAGCCTGATATGGGGCTTGATCCCAGGACCTTGGGATCACGACTGAGCCCAAGGCAGATGCTTAACCAACTGAGCCAACCAGGCGCATCACTCACAAAAACTGGATGATTTGGCATGTGAAGTAGTTACCATAAGTCTCAGTTTTATCAGCTTTAAAATGGGGACAAAATCTTAGCTACCTCACAGGTTTTTGTGAGAATTAATTGAGATCATACTTATAAGAATCCTGCACAGAGCACAGAGTAAGCCCTGAATAAATATCAGCTTAAATTATTACTATGTTCTAGGTACTTTGCTACATACACACTTGGGTGTGCTGAGATGAGTATTTTACTATCACTACCATTAAGGATCATGCAACATAATGTAAGAGACAATCCCCCTCTGTAAGCTCCACTCAGAGATCATTTTCTCTCCTTTAGCAACACACTGAGTTCTCCTTTGCCCCACCATGCTCTTTGGTCTGGATTGGAGAGTCTCATTTTCTTATTTTAGGAACGTCATGAAAACATTAAGTATGAGACATAAAATTGTAATGTCCCTATAATCAGCCAAGATGTTCCATCTCATCAGCTGAGATAGGAGAAGAATGAATAAGCATTCCTCAATTTTCTCTTTTGTTTAAGTTATTCATTTATTTGTTGGTTTGTTTACTTTAGTAGTGAGGTATAGCATACATACTATAAGATACACAAATCCAGCTCAATAAATTTTACTTATGTACACAGTTGTTAACCATGACTCAGATCAAATTTACCAACTTCCAGAAGTCTCTCTCATGCACCCTCCCAATCATGACTTTCTCACCAAATACAACTGCTATTTTGACTTCTATCACAATGTATTAGTTTTGCCTGTATTAGAATTTTATATAAATAGAATTAAATATGTAGTCTTTTGTCTCTGCTCTATCATTCAACATTGTACCTGTCATGTTCACCCATGTTGCATGTAGCAGTAGCTTGTTGTTTTTCATTACTGCTAGTATGCTATTGTACAATATAGCACAATTTATTATTCATTTTATTATTGAGCATTTAGATTGATTTTCATTTTTATGTTGGATAATATTGCTATGATCCCTCTTATACATATCTTTTGCTGCATATATGTATGCTTTTTCATTGGTACTTAGAAATGGAATTGCTGTATCATATGGTCATATGTCAGACTGCCAGACAGAAGTTTATACTCCCTTTAGCAGTGAATGAGTTTCTGTTGCTCTGTATTCTCCTCTACACTTGGTTTGATCTTTTTTTCCCCTTAAATTTTATACATTATAGTGGTCATGTAGTGATATCTCATTGTAGTTTTAATTTGTATTATCCTAGTGGCTAATGATACTGATTACCCTTTCATGTGCTTATTACCTGTTTAGGAAATGTTTGTCCATTTTTTTAAAAGAGTTTATGTATTTACTTAAAAGAGAGAGAGAGAACGAGTGGGGAGGGGGCAGAGGGAGAAGCAGACTTCCTGTGAAGCAGGGAGCCCCACATGGGACTTGATCCCAGGCCCCTGGGGTCATGACCTGAGCTGAAGGCAGATGCTTAACTGAGCCACCCAGGCTCAGTTTGTCTTTCTTTGTCATTTGTCTTTCTTACATAATATTTTCTGGGTTTTTTTTCTTGTTAATTTGCAGGATTTCCTTATTTTTGGCTCTATTATTGTGAACATAATTCTACTCTGTGATTGAATTTTCATTACTTAGTAGTATCTGTTAAGTTTATTAAGAGAAGTTCTTAAATTCAATCAAAAAGAATTTATCAATCTTCTGTATTATGGTTACTGTTTCTGTACTTCTATATGGTTAGTGTTTAAAAGAATTTTTTGCATACCCCCAAGACAATGAAGATATTCTTTTAGGGGCGCCTGGGTGACTCAGTTGGTTAAGCAACTGCCTTCGGCTCAGGTCATGATCCTGGAGTCCTAGGATCAAGTCCCACGTCGGGCTCCCTGCTCAGCAGGGGGTCTGCTTCTCCCTCTGACCCTCTTCCCTCTCGTGCTCTCTGTCTCTCATTCTCTCTCTCTCAAATAAATAAATAAAATCTTTAAAAAAAAAAGATATTCAATTGATCCAACTGTACCTATTGAAAAGAGCATTCTTTCCCCCCACTATACTGCAAAGAGGAACCAGGTGACTATAAACATATGGTTCTCTCTGGCTCCTCTGTTGTGTTCTATTTGTCTATTCTGACACCAATACCACTGTTGTAGTTACTTCATAATAAGCCTTGATATTTGGAAATATAAGTACTCCCACTTTGTTCTTATTCTGTGAAAACTGTTTGAAAATCAGTGTATCAGTTTTCACTACTCCTTCCATTGGGATCGTCTACATATTAATTGTAATTTATTGAATCTACAGAATAACTTTCTTCACTTTTGAGTCTTCTAATCCATGAACTTGATATAGCCTCCATTTGTTTACGCTTTAATTTCTCACAGCAATGTTTTCTAGGGTTTTTATTTTTAGAGCTCTTATATAGCTTTCTTCATGTATTTTTTGCTACATAATTTCTGTTTTGTTATTAAAGTAAATGATGTTTTAAAATTTCATTAAAATTTTTTTCTGTGGTTAGTGTGTAGGACCATAATTAATATAGTGATTTTATAGCCAATTACTTTACTAAATTTATTAATTTCAGAGCTTCATATATAGATTCTTTTGATAATTCTCTATTAGCACAATCATGTTATCTATAAACAATGGCAATTTCACTTGTACATTTCTGTTTCTTATATCTTTTTGTTACTTTTTCTTATTTTATTACACTGGGTAGAACCTCCAGTATGATATTGAAGATGAGGTAAAAGCAGGACATGCTTGTCACTTCCAGTCTCAGGAGGAAAGCTTTAGTTATTGCATCATTAAATATATTTTTATTGTAGATTTTTTGGTAGACATTTTTGGTCAGGTTAATGATACCAAAGGTTTTTATCCTGAAGGTTGTAGAATCTAACTAAATGCTTTCTTAAAAAAAATGTTTTATGATGATCATATTGTACTTTTTTAAAAAGTTTATTTTTGTGTGGTGAATAATGTTGATTTATTTTTCTATTTTTTTAAAAATTTTATTTATTTATTTATTTGACAGAGACAGCACGACAGAGGGAACACAAGCAGGGGGAGTGGGAGAGGGAGAAGCAGACTCCCCCTGAGCAAGGAGTCCGATATGGGGCTCAATCCCAGGACCCTGGGATCATGACCTGAGCCGAAGGCAGACGCTGAACGACTGAGCCACCCAGGTGCCCCATTTTTTCTATTGTTAAATCAATTTTGTATTACTGGAAGAAAGCCTACTTGGATATAATATATTACTCTTTTTTATATTTCTGGGTAGATTTTACTAATATTTCCTTTGGAAAAAAATGCATTTATTTTAATGAGAGAAGTTGGCCATTATGACACATAGGAAAATTCTTAGATCGTCCTCTGGTGTTAAGATTATGCTGGCATTATAAAATGAGTTAAAGTAATTTTAGAGGGAAATTTATAGGTCAAAATTACTATATTAGAAAAGAAAAAAGCCTGAAAATCAAAGATGTAAGCAACCATCTAAATAAACAGCAATATAAAATCAAAGAAGTAGAAGAAATAAAATATTTGAGATGTGGTCAATAAAATAAAAAACAGAAGGTGGTAAAGAAAAATAAACAAAACCCAAGGTTTATTCTTTAAAAGTATTAATAAAATTGATAAACCCTTAGGAAAAGCAATAGAAAAAGAAAAAAAAAAACAGAAATAAATCACAAATTACCAGTAGCATGAAAATAAAAGAAGATATTCTTAGAAAGTACACTTCAAAAAACAAAAAGAGCATATGATTTAAAAATATTATGCTAATAATTTTAAAATTTAGAAGAAATAAATTCCTTTTTAAAAATAAACTATCCAAATTAACAGAAGGAACAGAAAATGTAATTTTCTTACATCTATAATGAATCAAATAAAACTTTAAAACTTTCCTGCAAAGAATATTTTATGCCTAGAGAGATCCTTCGGAGAATTCTTAAAAACTTTTAAGAAAGAAATCATACTATTGAAAATTCAGCCATTGCTTTAATGTTCCTTTGAAGGTAACATTTCTTTTTATCCTATGGATACTTTTAGGATTAGCTCTTTGTCTTTGGCTTTCAGCAGATTTACTATGATATGTCTAGGTGTGATGTTCTTTGATTTTGCCCTGGTTTTGATTTATAGATATTTTTGAATCAATGGGCCTTTCAACAATTATGGATAATTCCAGGCCATGATATTTTTTAAAAAAGCTTCTATCCCATTCTATCTCACTTCTTCTGGACTCCAATTACACATAAATTCAATCTTTTCACTGTGTCCCAAATATCTCCTATGGTTTTTTAAACTATCTTTTCTTCTCTCTCTCATTGCTTGAATCTAGACATTTTCTACTAAGCTATCTTCTAGTTTATTAATTATCTAATCAGCTGTTAAATGCATTAATTATAAACATTTCTATTTTGTTATTTGTATAGTTTCTTAATTTGCTATGAAATTTTCTACCCTGCCCCATTCCATTTTTTCCCCATTCCATTTTTTTAACTTGTCACAATAATCTTCAAGTTCATGTCTGCGAGTTCTAATGCTGGATCACTTATGGATTTGTTTCTATTTTCTCTTGATTTTTGCAGCTTTGGTTATGTTTCTTGGCATGACTGGTAATTTCTGAGTAAATGCTAAATGATGTATATGAATTAAGCTAGTGCTGCTGAATAATGTTATCTCCTCCAAAGAGGATTTAGGTTTCATCTGTCAGGCATATAGAATATGGGTATATCACCTTGATTCAGTAAAGACTAGTCTACTTCTGTCTTGCTATTACTCCTGGAGAGTAGGTGTTCAGGGTTCAGGGTTCTGAGGTGTTTATTAAAACCCCTCCTCTTTAGACAATCCTGAAGCTGTGATAATCTCTGCTTAGCTTAGTTATTGCTTTATATTTATTTTCTCAGCACCATTCCCTGTTCAAATACTGATTAGTGGTCAGAAAATGCCTTGAAGGGAAATTGCAAAATGTAAATTCACCTAGAATCTTAGCCACTCATATCCTCATTATTTTGGTTGTTCTCTAGTACCTTCAAAACCCCCTTTTTTTTTGTTTTGTTTTCATTTTTGTTATTGCATTGTACCTAGCTTCCAAAGTTTTTCACTGAGTCTGATACCAGCTACCCCATCATAACTGGCAGCAGAATGGTTTTTAAGATATGTTTTCATATTATCTCATTTAGACAAAACAGTATGAGCAAATCAATGCAGCTGTATGAGATATAGTTTCCAGATGAAGGAACAGAAACTCAGAAGTATTAATAATTCTTCCAGATTGTCAAAGCTGCAATGCCAAGGCAGTCCTAGAATCCTTGTCATTAGCTCTTAGTCACTGGCACTTTATACCATGCCAGTGTTTATCAAATGTTGACCATTGATAGACCATTTAAAGGTTCTTTGGAGTAAGTGTGATCACTGCTTTTTCTGAAAAATTTACTGGTATTACTAATTTTATGAAGATATTTTAAAATTTCATTTATTATGTCAAAGATTCCAATAAATAATTCTCTCCTTCAAGTGCAAATTAAAACTATAAGGATGTCTTTCTATACATCCATGAGCTTGGGCAAATTTAAAAGTCTGACCATACCAAGTGCTGGTGAAAAAATGAACAAGAAACTCTCATACAGAGCTAACGCGAGTGAAAATTGTTTCAACCACTTTAATACTGTCTTTTCCCATACATATCTGTGACAAAACAAAACAATATTCTGTGACCAAATAATAGCAAACAATTCCATTCCTGGGTATATACCTAGAGAAGTACATCCACATGTGTGTAAGGAAACCTGTAAATAAAAGTTCACGGCAACAATTTTTGTCACAGCTGAAAACAACTGTGATATCCATCAGGAAGTAAGGATGTTAGGATAGATAAATAACTCATGCTTGTTAATATACTGGAATTTTGTGCCATAATTGAAGTGAACCAACTAGAGCTTTGTACAACAACCTAACTGAATCTTACAAACATATTATCGAAAGAAATTCTTTTAAACTATGCCTTTATATAAAGTTTAAAACCAGTCAATATTAGCCATTTTATTTATGGCACATACAAGAGTAACAGAAATACAGAGAGTATCAAAGGAGAAATCATTATACATATCTAAGAGAATGAACGAAATGTGATTGAGAAGGGTACTTCCTCAGTGTCAACAAGATTCTATTTCTTTATTTAAGTGGTAGTTAAAAAGATTTCTAATGATTCATTATATTGTACATTTATGTGTTTTGTACCTTTTCCTCTGTGTGTGTTATAGTTCATCATTTTAAAAGTTATGGAAATTTCCTCTTGGGAGCTAGCATACTTCAGCATGGAAAAGAAAAATCTCATTTCCCAGACTATGCTAACAAGACATATATTGCCATCTGATATTATCCACAAATTTCTGTATTTCCTTCAACACAGTACCAAGATCAGGAGGCATATTGTTGATCACCAGCCATTCACTCTTAATTGCAATGCATGCACATTGGCAGTTTTGTCACACATTGTATCGTGTAGCAATCCTGTTCCTTGTGGTGCACATGCATGATGCCTTGTTAGGAACAGTACCAATACTCTTTTCCCAATGCACATCATGCTTCAGAAACACAACGACATTACTAATGTTCTCCACCACAAATTTTGAATGGTTAACGGAACAAAATAAAAATCACCAAACACTTCTCCTCTGCACACATATCACGTATTAGCCAAGACCTGATTCATACCTTACACACACACCGCCAACTGAAAGCAAAATATCTCCTAGACCACACACATTACATGCCATTAATGTTCCATGATATGCAATTTTCATATGATAGGGAAGTCTTGCCAATTCTTATTATGCTTTCACTTTGAGCTCATTATTTGTTATTAGCTTTGTAGCTAGTTTTACAGTTACGTTGAAAAAGTATGACTTGCACCTATACCTGTTTTTGGTACATGAAATGTAACTTCTGAATTATGCCTCTGTAGTTTTGATATCTCCCTTTCCTTCAGTGATAAAATCCAGCAATTTAAAACTGGGAAATATTTCTATAGAAAAATATCATTTTTTAAACCAGAGAGGTACGTAGTACTTACATGCAAAGTTTGATGGCTTCATGCCACTATTTAACCAAGTTTTATGAAAGGCAATTTACTACACACACTACACACCAGGGTCAAAATGATTGCTAGCCTTCTTAAATAAAATTTTCCATTGTTTATTTTTGGATTTCCTATTTTCACTTTTTATATCTGGCTGCTTCTAGCTGCTTTCCCCTTGTTTCAGCATATATGCAATCCCATTCTACATTCACTCTGAAACTGGTCACCAAAAATGATTATGGTGGTGGTGTATTTCTGTCTCTACTTTTATAACCATTTTATGTTTGCATAAACTACTTGTGTACGTAATTGCTTCTTTAATAAAATTAGAAATCTAATAATACACCTCAATAATAATTTTTAAAAAGGCAAAAGTAAACAAATACAAACAAGTAACATGCAAATAATCTGAAAATAAGTTAACCTAAATGCATTGCATCCAATTAACTGACTGGAAGCTGATGTCTGATCATCAGAGTCCTTTCAATGAGTGGCTACCTTTAAGATGTTAATGACTTAAGAACATCAGAGACCTCAATGAGAATTTAATCTTACATTTTAAATTTGTTAAATACCTGGGAACAAAGTTTGTTTTAATTTCTTTTTCCTCTGAATGTTCTAAACTCTGCTAAAAAACTGCCAGAGGACACAAATGATTTATGGACTACACTTTGAGAAACACTGCTTTATGTCATGCTGTGATCTTCAAAACCATGAAAACCAAAACCAAAACTTCCAAAACCATAGTAGCCAACTTTAGGAGCCATGAAAGTCTAATTCCTAGCAATTCAGTTCAAAGTGGCTCATTTCTTAACCTGCTCTTTGACAAGTTTAAAAAAAAAATGTATTTTGGCTTTATTTGTCCAAAACAATTATGAAGGTTATGGACAGCATTTTCTAAAACCTAAATTTAGATCTCAGAGCTCCACTTTATTTTGTGCTACAGTAACTCTTGGGCTTACAATTATCCTATGTACTAACAATACTGTCAGACAAAGGAAGTTAGTGAAGGGAACCAGCTTCCTTAAAAGGGGGAATCCCTAAAAGAGTGCATTCTCTCTAGAGCTTTAGAGAGAGAATCATATGTGAAAACTCAGA